GCACAGAACAGATGAATGGGGATATACAAGCATCATAACGTCACCCCAGGACAGGTATCAAGTGTTGCCCCCTTTGTGAGCTGTCTGCATGGCTCATGAGCAGAACTTTGGACATCTTGCAGCAGTGCAAGAGCATTCCCTGCACGGAGCAGCACCTGTGCAGCTCTGGGACTCTGCTTTAAGCCACAGCTCTGTTTTTTCCCCCCAGAGCTCAGCAGGGAGCAGTGGTGCTGTGAGTGCTTCCTGAGCTGCTCTGCCCTGAGCAGGGCAGAGATGATCCGAGCCGAGCTGCTGGAGACCATGAAGCGCATTGAGCTGCCCATCTCAGCGCCAGCCTTTGGATCAGAAGCCAATCTGCTCAGCATTAAGAAAGCTCTTTTGTCTGGTTACTTCATGCATGTAAGGAAAAACACCGTGGTTTCATCTTCCTGCACTGTATTTTTATAATTTTTTTAAATTATGTAGAATGCTTTCAGAAAACTTAAGTTCATTAGTGAAATCTCTTCATTACCATTTTTTTCCCAGTGTATCAAATGCTTCTTCTCATTTCAGCCTTTTCTCTGGGGTTCATCTCTCACTGCTGGAGTTCACACTCTCCATAGCAAGAAAAAAGCTGCCAATATGCCTTTCACTCAAAGAACTACACCTCAAAAAAACCTCTTGAAATTGCAGTATTCTCTCAGGAATTATCTTCTTTTTGAAGGTGAAAATTGCCTGGAAATAGAGAAATACTTGGATATATTTAGGTGTGCATAGCAGACAGCTTGCCTCATCTCAGGAAGGCACTCAAACTGTAATTGTAAATGTAAACTAGATTGATTTATTCCCACTTGAATCCCCAGGCTTTCCTTCACATCCCTGTGCAGTATCCACACAGAAATTACCTCTCCCAGCTGCACATTTCATGGCCTGACACTTTGTATTTGAAAGTCTATGAAAAGCAAATGTGCTAAAGAATACATGTTTGTTTGTCTCACACAGACCTGCAAAGCCAAACCCAGATAGTTTTGTACTTCTTTGTTGCAGCTTCCTTTCAAACACACAAATCAACATTTTCTTTAAGTCTCATTTCATGGTATCCACACAAGCTTGGGAAGTGGCTCCAGTTGAAAGTATCTGAAGGAAATTTTAATTTCTGGTTCAAATCTAAAATAGGCACTGATCAATTCAATCATGGCTAACTCTCCCCATTGTTTATTTTTTATAGATTGCTCGTGATGTGGATGGCTCAGGGAATTATTTAATGCTAACACACAAACAGGTGGCCCAGCTGCACCCCTTCTCATCCTATTGCAGCACCAGGAGGATTCCAGAGTGGGTTTTGTTCCATGAGTTCAGCATCTCAGAGGGCAATTCCATCAGAGTTGTCTCTGAGATCTCCCCCCATCTGTAAGTGACCTGTGGTGCAACAAAATCATCACTTTGGGAGGAAAATCAAAATAAAAAGGGAAGATGTGTGTTCTCAGGCCCTCTCTATTCTCAGTACTTGCCACTCTAACTGTCATCTATTGAAAAAGCCACATTATGAGCTAAAAAAAATTCTTACAAGGTAAAATATACAGAAAAAAATTCAAAGAGAGTTAACAGAGCAGTGTACTCACACACAAATCCAGCTGGAAAGGTCTTTGCTCCCTGAAAAGCTATTTTCCAGCAAATCCTTTTCTTAAATATTTTCTGTAGCCAGCCAGCTGAATCCTGGCCTGTTTATGGATTCAGGCAGAGACCAGAGTGCTCCTCCTGCAAAAATCTCTTTACACAAAGAATATCCATTTCACTCTCCCATCTTTTCCATTTGCCATGTTTATAGGAGAGCTTTTTTCATAATTTTTTATTGAACCACTCTGCTCTAAAGCAGGGAAATTCCTATTTAATGCAGCACTGGGAACTGCACTGCAGCTCAAGTGCAGGCTGAGGATTTGCAGTGCTACCAAAAGCACAAACTCCTACTACATCTTGCAGAGAATCTTGGATTCTTGCAGAGTTTTGGGCTTAAATATCAACTTTGTAGGTTTTTTTCAGATATGCCTGGAAATAATTATTCAAGTATTGAAATATCAATTAAAACTGAATAATGTTTTGTGTGATTTCCTCCCCAGATTTGCAGAGCTGGTACCTCAGTATTATTTCAGCAATCTTCCTCCAAGTGAAAGCAAGGAAATTCTGCAGGAAGTGATCAATCACTTGGCCCCTGTTTCAGCCACAAGGGAGGAACAGAAAACTGCCAGTGACAGCAAAGAAAATGAGGAATTTCCCCAAACTCCCACTGAGCAGAGATGTGTTATTCAGTGAATTTAGACTGAACCATCACACATTGGACAATAAATAAAAGCAATATATCCAAACCACATCCCCACCTTAACCTATGGAATTATTTCAAACTTTTGACATAAATACATTTAACAGAAGAAAACAAAAGGAGATGTAGGCATTATTTTGGAACAAAACCTCATGATTTAGCTTTGGTTAAAAACACATTGAGCAGATATTCAGGTTTTCTCTTGACACTGGGTTTTTATTGACTGCTCCATGATGATATCAAAGTAAAATAAGATCCAGTATTTAAAAATATTCATTTGGTGGATGTTTTTAGTTGTACAAAACCGTTGACCCAACAGCAGCTCTGCAAATACTCTGAGCTCACAGTCCTGCATGGCTGCTCTGTAAAAACCTGGGGATTGTAGGGGAGCTCAGAGGGAGAGATAATCTTTGAGTTTTTCCATAATTCCAGGGATTCCATCAGCTGGAACTACAAGAACTGTCCTGAGGGGCTTCATGGGCACATCATCAAAGGACCATCTGCCTCCCAGGCAGGAGTCGCTTTCCTCTTGCACACAGTAGCTGAATTTCAGAAGGGCTTTCTGAACAACAGAAACAAAAGCATTCAGATTAAAATGTTTAATTAGCATGAAGATAATTCATCATCCAAACAAAGTGAAAATCATGAATCTGTTATGCCCATGCTTATTAAGAAGATTTTCCCTCTTATAGTGTCCACCGAAAAGAACAACCAAAAAATCCACTATTTTAAACAAACATTATATTTTCACAGGATTGATATCTTTCATATTAAATTCTATAATGATTGCTACCTTTATAGGGTATTGCTACCATTATAGGGTATTACTACCTTTATGGGATGAGAGAAATAACCTAGGAGGGAGAGGGAAAAAAGAAAAAAAATCAATGTTCTGAGGCTCTCCTGCTTTCAGGGCCTACTCTTGAAACTGCTCGGTCCTAAAAATTAAGGAATCTGTAAGAACATGAGTAGAAATCAAATATTAAGGGGATGGGCACCAAATGAATCCTGAGGAGAATTTCAGAAAGCTCTTGGAAAGGTTCCAGATGGCTGCAGCAACTGGAAGATCTGTTTGTGCCTCTCCAAACAGGCAGGTGTCTGGAATGTGCAGGATTTCTTTTCAGGGATACAAACCCCATACAGAAAGTTCCTTTTCATCAGCTTTCCTAGACAAAACTCCTGATGGATGAGATAAATAACTTAATGAATGTTTCCAGTTCTCACACAAGTCAGCTGAAGAACTCTGAGCTGAACCATCAAGTAGAAAAACTTACCTGATTCCTTCCCTTTGAAGGCAAATGAAGATCCACTCAATTTAGCAAGGCTTTAAATCTCATTTTGGATGAATGAGCACACTCACTGAGTGGCTCTGCTCAAGAACAATCTGAGCACCTTTAATCCCTTCCAATCTGGTTCTAAGGGATTTCCTGGTTATAATTTCAAGGAGCAGGATGAAGCCAGGGCAGTGCCAGGTGCAGCAAAAGGCTGCTCTCACTTTGATATAACCACATTTACTGCTGTTTGATGGCAATCCAATTAACACTGGGTGTGATCAGGGAGCACAGACAGCACTAATTTAACACACACACATTATTAAGTACAGAGAGACATTTCATTTAATACCCCACAAAATGTTTAAAATGATTTTTTTAAAACACTAGAAAGGCTGTTAAAAAGAAAAGCATGCTCAGTTTGAGCTGGGAATTACTGGAGTTGTGATGAAAGCACACAATTAGCCTTTAATAATTAACAAAGCTGAGATAAATAAATACAAAATGGCCCTTCTACAACACAACACCCATGGACACAAGAGCTTCCCAGGCTTCTCCCCAGCAGCTTTTCAATAACATTTTACACAGAATTCAGCTTCAGCATTTTCAGTAACATTTTACACAGAATTCAGCTTCAGCATTTTCAGCTGCTGTGGCAGGAACACAAAAACAAAATCCACAACCTGCTACAACACAATTCCCTACAGCTACCAGTGAATTCCCCCACTTACATGTCTCTCACTCTCAAAAAATAAAATTACAGCCCTATCAGAGCCTCTGTCAGAATGATTACACACAGGAACCTTTGCCATTAACCACCCCCTGCATGTGCAAGTCCTCTGCCCTGCAGGCACTGCCAGAAATGAAAAATAACAGCCTCTTGACAAAGTAATGATATTGTATAATAGTGGTTTTAAAGCTTTGGGAACAAAAAAAATGAGGAAAAAAAAGAAGCCATGAAAAATTCTTTGCATTTCAGAGCACATCCTAAATTTAATTTCCTGCATTTTGCCCTCACCTGATCTGGCTTGGGAGCAGCAGCATTGTGTGGCCAGGTTGCCTTAGGAAATGGGAAGTAATATTTTCATCTCAGTGTTTCACCACTTTTTATTAATGTACTTGCCCTGAGTAGAACGGAGACAGGAAAGGGAAGCAAGAGCCACCTCTTAGGACCTCCATAAGTTTTTATTCTGAGCATTTCTGCAAGTAACAGGTACCCAGGAGGGAACAGATAAATCAATACACACAAAGAGCTTGAGTGCTCCTCTCCCAACACTTCCCCAAAACACCCTCGATTTAATTTCCAAATATTTGTGATCATCTTGATAAAAGCTCCCCTTGAATTGAGGGTGAAACATCTCTTGTTGATGATATGAAAAAAAATAAGGATTTTAAATTAAATAATCATGTTACCTCATGAAAGAATTCTTCCTCTGCATTTGCAAACATCAATTCCTCCTTTGGCTGATTCTTCCCTTCTTTCCTCTTAGAATTGCTCTTTGTGGCTTCTGTGAAGGTCTTGCTGATGAGGAGGTAATAGTGGCACTTCCCACAGGGTTTGTTTGTCCTCTGGGCCTCAGCCAGCTCCTTCCTGAAGAGAAGAAATGTTCCCACAACTGAAATCCTACACAAGCACATAACCAAACCCTGTCACGTGGTGGCACAGAAAGGATATTCAAATTGCAGCCTGTTCCTTTAGGACACCTCAGAAAATCAATTTTGCAGATGCATTCCTGGTATTTAAACACACTATTTGTACTTTAAACTATAAAAATATGGATTTTTTTAACAGCTCACAGCATAATCTTTTTCCCAGAATCCTGTTCATGGTAATGTCTGTGCAAAGATTCTCAGTGCAACTCTCCTTAAAAATGCATCACATTGTCATTCCTTGAGGACTGAACTGAAAAGAGAAAATTCTCCTGCTCACCCTTGTGTTCAACATGTTGTCACTCCACAACCTTAAGACAAAGAGGCTGAGATCTGAATCTGAGCTGTGCCAAGTGCTGAACTGGGGCAACCTCAATCTGACTTCTGATCTCATCTCACATGGGAGGAAAGGAGGCAAAAATGAAAGAAAAAAAGGAGATGATCTCCATTCTATTACTGGTTCTTTATCCAAAAAAACTGCCTTGTTCCCTGTTCTCAGTGTCACACCAGAATAATGTAATGCTGTGTTTCAGTGGATTCATTTATTTACATTCACCCAGCTTTTGATATAATCCATGAATTAGCAGAGATCAAGCAGCACTCCACCTGCTTTTTCATCACCTGAAACTAATCAAAACACTGCATATCTACATGGGTCAAAACTAATTCACCTTTTAATCCTTTCCCTCAGCCCAAATCTCCCATTCCTGAGCCAGACATGAACACAGCAACACCCAAGCTGCTAAAAGAGTCCTCATTGCTAAATCTTCCTAGATCAGACTGAAAATAATCTGCAAAACAAGGATAAACTGCAACATAGATAGAGCTATTTCTATTTCTAGACAGATAGAACAGCTATATCTAGAGCTATCTCTATTTCTAGATAGATAGAACAGTTATATCTAGAGCTATCTCTATTTCTAGATAGATAGAACAGCACATTTTCTCAAATTATATTTGTATAGAATTTGACAAAGTTTTGTACGTTTATAAAGAAATAAAAGTATTTTTAAAATTAACTAAAGACCATATATGAGATAATATTTGTTTTGTTCATGCTTTACTCATATCTATAGTATCGATTGTCTGAGCACTATACACATAACAATTCTGAAAAATATGATGAAAAATACCATTCAGCAAGAAAAGAATAATGAACAAACTTACTGGAGCTGCTGGTGCATGGGCAGAGCAATCTGAGGGGGGACATTGATGAACCTCTCGCTCAGGATGAGCCCCACAGGCTTGGTGCTGTCACTGAGGAGTTTGCTGAGCTGCTCCAGCACCTGCTGCTCACAGCTCTGCTCACAGCGCCCCAGGAGCAGCTCTTTGATCTGCTCAGCACACTGCGTGCCCTGCAAGCAAAAGGTGCATTTCATTTACCTGAGACAACAGTGTCCGGTTATCTCGGCTGTTTGAGGGGCCTGGAAAGGCCCGGAGTGGCCTTGGGGCAGCCCGCGTATCGAAGGACGAGAAGAGGCTTCAGTTCTTCTTTCGGTTTTTATGTTTATTAATTGTTTATCTAAAAGATTTTCTTTCGGCCGGACAGAGCTCTGCTCAGCAGCCAGCCATGAGCACACTGTGCTGCCCTCCGGGCGGTCACCTATCTTTATACCCATGGTTACGTGTACAATATTTATCATTTTTCCCCAATACCATCTATTCTTATAACTCGGTGTACTCTCAGTAATAACCAATCCAAAGGTGCCACCGTGGCCAAAGAAGATGGAGGAGAGGAGGAAGAAGAAGAAGGACAGGACACACCCCAATTCCTCCATCTTACTTCTCTAAACCCCCCTGTACAGAAATCCTAAACCCTGTGTCTCACCCTCTAATTAACCAATCCCTTCACCATTCACCCGGTGAAGCCCTCATCCTTGTCGTCTCCTGTGTAGGACTAAAGTCCAGCCACCAGACACTTCTGGCAACATTCCAGGAGTCCCGAGCCCCCCCAGGGTCTCGGTGGCTCAGCATCTCAGGACTGAGATCTTGAGATCCGACACAACAGCTGTTCACACAAAAAAACCCTTGAGTGACACCTGAGTGTCACCTTGGAGGGAACTTCCTACAGGCCTGCTGGCAATTTCCCTCAGCAGCCCCCAAAGCACTGCAGCATTGCTGGGAAAGCATTCTCCTGCCTAAAGCTGAGGGCAAACAAAGCTTGGGGAGTGATGGCAACAAGGAACTGCAGCCCCACAGCAAAACTCCAAACTGCACAAGGTCAAGGGCAGGAAATACAAGAGACTGACAGCTCATTTGTGCTGGAATTACTAGGCCCAGTTTTAACTCCCTGTTCCATTTTCTGCTTCACGTTTGACCCAAAAAGCGAAGCCACTTCAAGTTTTATCACCCCAAAAAGCTAATCCACTTCAAGTACTATAACCCCAAGATGCTAAGCCACTTCAAGTTTTATCACCCCAAAAAGCAAAGCCACTTCAAATTTTATCACCCCAAAAAGCAAAGCCACTTCAAATTTTATAACCCCAAAAAGCAAAGCCACTTCAAGTTCTATAACCCCAAAAAGCAAAGCCACTTTAAATTTTATAACCCCAAAAAGCAAAGCCACTTCAAGTTTTATAACCCCAAAAAGCTAATCCACTTCAAGTACTATAACCCCAAAAAACAAAGCCACTTCAAGTACTATAACCCCAAAAAGCAAAGCCACTTCAAGTTCTATCACCCCAAAAAGCAAAGCCACTTCAAGCTCTATAACCCCAAAAAGCAAAGACACTTCAAATTTTATAACCCCAAAAAGCAAAGCCATTTCAAGTTTTATCAGCCCAGCCCTCCAAAGTGGAATTCCAAATCCTGTCCAGCTGTCCAGGCTTGTTACCCAGGATGCAGTCTCATTTATTGCTGATGGTAATATCTATAACCAGCTGTTACTGAGGAATACCAACCTTCCTTTCTGTTAAGTTCAAGCAGCTTATAAAACCAAATACTTCATCATCATCTTCTTCATCATCAGAACTGTCTTCCTGCACTTCTGCTTGCTGTTGGATGAAAGGAAAAGCAACAACTCACACTGACATTCTATTTCCAGTCTGTACAAAAGATGTTTTTCTTTCCAGGTGATGTCAGCAGATGAAAACCACAGAGGAATCTGCACAAGCACACGCTGCACTTTGTGCTGCAGCACTGAACTGAGCTTTAGAGACCAGGCCATGCATCTTCCACAGCACAGTCCTCTGAAAGGCACTGAGGGTTCATAGCTCACCTTTGATAAGCAGCATCTCAGCCCAATATCTTAAACAAAACCAATTTTCTTCAGTTTCTGACGCAGTAAACCTGGAGTGTCCTGACAAGCACAGAGCAATGAAGCTTTGACAGGGAGGGGACAAAGAGCTGTGTCTTTGTAGGAAAGTCAAAGCTCCTGTTTCTTATGGAGATGGTGACAAACCTCTCCATTGCATTTTCAGCATGACTAACTGAAAATCAGGGAGGGAAAAGCTTTCCAGATGTAGAAATAAACCAGCAATAACAACACATCAAATTAATTCTTTGCCTGAAAGCAGCATGGAAAATTTCAGTCCCATAGAAAAATTATTCTTAAAGCAGAAAGAGCAAGAAAGCACACAATAACAGACAGGATCCCCTTCTGAAATACAGAAATAATGTCATTTTAACAAAGAAAGCATTGTACTTCAATTACAAATATCATATCTGTCTTACCTTGATAATACTCCCAATATGGTTCTGTTGTATTAATATATCAGTTAATTCAGCAGTGTTAACAGGAGCTTTTAGAAACAACTGGAAGTCAGAAAACAAGTATTAAATTTCAGGCACTGAGAGTAACTCCTGGACCACTTAATAGAAAATAAAGTGAGATTTTTATTTATCTTCCTTCATTATAATACTGCAAAATCTAGCAATGAGCTGCTGGAGGTGCTCACTCCTGCACCTTCCCCATGCTGGTATTTTCACACTGGTACCCTCTGGAATTTGGTATGATCTGAAAGCTGTGGCTATTCCACCCCTGGCAGTGCCCAAGGGCAGGCTGGATGGAGCTTGGAGCAATCTGGGACAGTGGGAGGTGTCCCTGCCATGGCAGGGGTGGCACTGGATGGGCTTTAAGGTCCCTTCCAACCCAAACTGCTCTAGGATTATCTATTAAAGGAAAGAAAGTAATATCTAAAAGCTATAAATCAACACAGAGAATGTGAACTGATGCCTTTGCACAACTCCTTAGATATTATTTATCAATGGACATATGAACCAAGCAGACAAGGAGCCACAGTACCTGCTGTAGTAACTTCTTTATCCCATTATAGTCATTGTCTGATATGGAATGTGCTTCAAATTCAACATTCACCTCCTGTGGAGAAAAACAGAGAATATCACACACACCTGGCAGAGGTTATATCAGAACAAAGCTAATCTGTAAGAAACTTGAAGACAAGTAATGGCAAAGAGCAGAAACAGAACTTATTTCCACCTTGCAGTAATCTCAGCAATTGTTATCATTTCTCCTGTGACCTTTGGAGAACATCTGTGAAAGTAACTTTAAAAACTGACCCACCAATTGTGTCATGAACAAACCTTTAATGCTCTGCTCCTGCCATCTGGTTCACACAATTACAGCTTTCACAGTCACAGACCCTTCCTGGAGAGAGGCTGACCCAGGCAGTTAAACCCTGGCAACTTCAGCACTGGGGTCTAACACCTTAGCTGCAGATTGCTGCAGACATTTAAATAATTACACTCAAACCCACACTTCTGCTATTTCTCTAAATCCCCCTGGCATCATTAACCCCACTGTGGAACTCTGCAAATGATGAGGCATTGCAGCAGCCACAGTGGGACCTGCTGCTTCTCCTTCCAGAACAAATGCTGTGTGTCTACCAACATTTTTATTGGTATTCAAAATTAAAAATCACACCTGCCAAGGTTACTCTGCCCACCTTTTCCACTGTTCAAGATCATTCAACTTTTAATTGCCAGTTTCAACTACACCTCCTGAGTAACCTCAACAACTCAGCCTCACTTTTGCCACCGTTCAGCCCCAGAACTCTCTCCAATCTCACACTGAAGTCATGGCTTTTGCTGTCCACTGGAAGAACAGTGTTAAAGACCTGTTTGCAATGTAGAAAACAGGCACACAGTCCCTTGGGAAGCAGCAAAATTCAGGAGACACAGGCACAGGCTGCCCTGGATCCCTGCAAGTGCCCAAGTCCAGGCTGGACGGGGCTTGGAAAACCCTGGGATAAAGGAAGGTGTCCCTGCCACGGCACGGGGTGGAACTGGATGGGCTTTAATGTCCTTTCCAAACCAAACTATTCTGGGATTCTACAATGAAAGGAAGAAAATCTATTTTTATAATAATAAACCATAGCAGAAAATAATAAAAGAGCTAATGCTCTGTGCTGACAGCACCATTTCCAAGCAGCCACCTCCAGGCCCCACAGCTGAGCAGACACACCAAGGGCCAGGGGGCTGTACAGCTGAGACCTCGGGACCCCAACGCTTGAAAAACAGCTAAAAAATTAAAAACTTTCAACAACAACACAGTGAACACACTTTGGATCACTGGCCCACAGGGATGCGCTCCCTGTGTTCCCACAGGACACGAACCCAGTGCCCGCTGGGCCTGGCGGGGCACAATCCCTTCCCAAGCCCTTCCCCAGTATAGTATTTTCAGGGAACCCCCAATGAGGGGAGAAAAATGAAGCATCTGATTCCATGCTATCAAAAGGCTAATTAATTATTTTATTATACTACATTATTCTATCTTATCTTATATTACCTCTAAACTGAATCTGCCAAGCACTCAACCCAACTGCACAGAACTCGTGACTGTCACCCTCAGTCCCAACACACACACACACACCTGGCCCTGACAGGCCAAGGAAACAAAACACCATCACTGTGGGTAAACAGTCTCCATATTGCATTCTACTTCAGCACAAACACATGCACAGCAATGATAATAATTGTTTTTCCTTTCTCTGATGTTCAGAGAATGTGAAACCCAGAAATATTCTTGGGAAGAATTGTGCCTTGCTTTTCTCTGTGAAGAGAAATGTGGCGACACCAGAACATCTCCTGACACCCTTCCCAAACCTTTCCCGAACATCCCCTGAAAACAATCCCTTCCCAAGCCCTTCCTGAACATCCCCCGACAGTCCTTTCCCGAATATCCCC